TGACAAAATCACCATCAGTCAATTGCAAAAGGCAGCTTTACTTGGAACAGCTTATATCCTGCAACTATACCTTTAACAACATCTGCCTACCCAGGTCTTGGGAAGGACTCGATACATGGATAAAAATGCCAAATTCAGTCTAAACATCTGGCTGACTGTGTGACCAACTATAATAATTTCAGTCTGTGTATTATATATATACTGAGAGAAGCTGGATTGGAAGAAGAAACATTGGTGATATATTCTATGCTGTTCACTTGTCTGATAGCTGAAAATGCAGAGCTCTAGTAATGAAAGTCAACGAACACAGTGAAAAAATGGGACTACAATTAAACATAAAGAAGACCAAACTAATGAAAAGATTGACAGTGAAGATAATGAAATGATGGATGGTTTCTGCCTTTTGAGATCAACTATCAATAGTAAAGGAACCAGCACTCAAGAAATAAGTCGAAGACTATCACTTGGTAGAGTTGCAATGAAAACTTTGGAAGAGATATTCAGATACTGTAATGTGTGTGTACCTACAAAGATCCGAATCATGCAGGCAGTGGTTTTCCCTGTGACACACAATGGAAGCGAAAGTTGGACTTTGAACAAGCAATATAGACCATTGACATTTTTGAACTTTGGTGTGGAAGAAGTCTCCTGAGACAGCCAAGAAAACAAACAAATGCATCATCAAACAAATCTACCCAGAGTTCTCAAATGAGGCACAAATGACCAGGCTCAAAAGATTATACCTTTGATACATTATGTGAAGACCTAGCTCTCTGGAGAAGCCTATAATGGTGGGAAAAGTGAAAGGAAAGAGAAAAAGAGGATGACCAGCAGGAAGGTGGATCAACTCAGTTACAGTGGCAATGGGTGGACAGTGACAGTGGGTACATCACTGGACAAAATTTTCCTCACTGTTCAAGGAAAAGTTGTGTAAGAAGTATGTGGTAGAACCTGTGTATATATCAATAATCAGGATAGCAAACAAAGAGAAAACATTAACGTACATTCCTAATTCCATTTTGCAGAAGAGTCTTATTGTTTCAACAGCTTGCATTGTCCGAATAGTTATACAAAGAATTCTGAATATAACACTTTCCCTTTGTAAAACTCCTGCATTTTTTACAGAGTTTCTCCCATATTTTAAAAAAAAAAATCTGTTAAAGACACACACAATCATATTTCTTTGTAAACAAGTAATTAAATAAATACCGCCTTGCCATGTCATGTTTCCTTAGACAATCCATATGTGATGGCATTTTCAACAGCATGCACTTGAACAAATCTGTTTCCCCACTGATTGCCTTCAGTTTGAAGAGCAGTAAGAGGTAAGTAGAATCATATTTGACAAATTAAGGTAAAATTAATCTAACACAAATATTCTTTGGGCTGGAACTCTATCCAGTTTAACAGCCCATTGTGCAACAGATAACTAATATGAATTTAGTTTTTTGAAATAAAATATTTGCATTCACAGTAGATTTGGGGGATTGACTGTTTTAAAAGATACACTGCAAATGTTATTGGTTTTACACACACACAATCACTGTTTAAAGCTGACCAAAGAAACAGAAGAAATGGAAGACTCAAAAGAACAGAGCAATAATTATGATATTCTTTCACAAAGTGTCTGTCTGTCTGCTTCCTCCTTACAAAAAATACCCCGACTCTCTGCCACATTATGTGC